AGGCCCCAAGCGGTGTAGTGGAACGACCAATCAAGCATCACATTGAAATTATTCCTGGAAGTCAAATTCCAAAGGGCCCAATTTACAGAATGTCACCAAAAGAGTTGGATGAACTGCGAACTCAACTAGATGAAATGTTGGAAAAGGGTTGGATTAGGCCTAGCTCCTCACTGTATGGTGCGCCAGTGCTATTTGTGCCGAAGAAAGATGGCGGGGTCTGCATGTGTATTGACTATAGAAGATTAAATGACATAACTATTAAGAATGCTGAGCCATTACCCATAATCGATGATTTGTTGGATTGAGTTCAAGGTAGCAAGTACTTCATGAAAATTGACTTGAGTCTGGCTATTATCAAATTGAGATAGAACCAGAAGACCAATATAAGACTGCCTTTCGTACAAGGTATGGGCACTATGAATTCATTGTGTTGCCCTTTGGTCTTAGTAATGCACCTGAAACTTTTCAACGTACAATGAATGAGCATTTTCGTGAATGGCTTGATAAATTTGTTGTTATGTATTTTAATTTCTAGTAAAAGTCTGAGTGAACATTGTGAGCACCTTCGACTTGTGCTAAATAAGTTGCGTGAGGCAAAACTGAAGTTGAACCCGAAGAAGTGTGAGTGGGCAAAGCGTCAGGTATTATATTTGGGGCATGTTATAGACGGAGATGGAGTTAAACTGGAAGCCGCAAAAATTGCAGCTATTCAAGATTGGCCTAACCTGCGTACATTGACGGAACTACGATCGTTTCTTGGGTTGGCTAATTACTACCGTAAGTTCGTAAGGCACTTTACGATAATTGTTGCTCCCCTTCGCAGATTGCTGAAAAAGGAAACTATTTGGAAGTGGGATTAAGATTGTAGGTCCCCGTTTAAACGTCTAAAGAAATGTTTGAATAATTATCTGGTTTTGAAAGTTGATGATCCTTCTTTGCCCTTTGTTGTTACTACCGATGCCAGTCGGTATGGGATAGGCGTTGTACTCCAGCAGGATGATGGGAATGGATACATGCCTGTTGAATTTATGTCCCAATGACTGCCTAGCGAGAAGGTCGCCGCTTCCACATATGAAAGAGAGTTGTACGCACTCCGGGAAGCTTTGGACCATTGGCCACATTACCTCCTAGGTTGCCACTTCAAAGTTTACTCAGATCATGAGACACTTCGCTGGCTGAAAACGCAAGCCCGAATGACACCTAAATTGACTAGGTGGGTTGCGAAAATTGATCAATATGACTTTGAACTAAAGCCAGTAAAGAGTAAGTATAATGTTGTTGCTGACGCATTGAGTCGAAGATCTTACTTTTTCGGTGCCATTGTGACGTACTTAGACATAGGCGCTGACGTTCAAGATAAGATTAGGAGTGCTTATTCCACTGATCCTGTTTATAGCGCTATGCTGAAATGTGTTCAAAAAGCGCCACAAGAGTTTCCTGATTATCGAGTAACTAATGGACTGTTGTTTGAAAGAACTGATGTTCATGATAGACTCTGTATTCCCGACAAGGAAGAGATAAAAAGTGTGATCTTGGGGGAATGCCATGACATTGAAGGCCATTTCGGGTGGAGAAAGACCTACGCTAACCTTTTGCGTTCCTACACCTGGCCTCGAATGAAATCTGATTGCATTTCATATGTGCAAGTCTGTCAAGTGTGCCAGCGAAACAAAAGCACCACACAACCTCCCCTTGGTCTATTGAAGCCTTTGCCTATCCCAACAGGTCCTGGAGACTCTGTGTCCATAGATTTCATGGACACTAAGGTGAAAAGCAGGAACGGGAAAAGCCAAGTTATGGTAATTGTCGATAGGTTCAACAAGTTTGTTGTTTTTGTAGCATTACCTGCGGAAGCTAAAACTGATTTAGTAATTCGAGAATTCTTTAATCACTGGGTAAAGGACTACAGTCATCCCTTGACTATTGTTGGTGACAGAGACTCTTTGTTCACCAGTGAACACTGGCAGCAACTAATGAGTGTCTATGGCTCTAAGCTGACAATGTCGTCAGGCCGACACCCTGAGACAAATGGGCAGACTGAGCAAATGAACAAGCTCCTGCAACAGACGCTGCGTATGTACATTTGTCCCGATCAGATTGATTGGGATGAACATTTGTCCAAAGTTGCTAGTGCCTACAACAACTCTGTGCACTTGACTACTTGCAGAACTCCGATGTTGCATTTGGGGTGGAGTCCTCGCAGACCTATAGACTGTCTAAACTCGGATAGAGCACATAAACTTCCGCCAGGGACCAGAGAATTCGCAATGCAATATCAGAAAGATTTAGAGAAGGTAAAGGAGAACATAATAAAAGTGCAACATCAAATGATTGAGGAAGCCAATAAGCACAGGAGACCTTCTCAGTTTGCTGTAGGTGATCTGGTTTTGGTAAAATCAAAGGAGTTTATCCCAGAGGAAAACATATCTCAGAAGTTGTTACCTACCTACAAAGGACCGTGGCAAGTATTGGATGTGATAGGGGGTGAAGATGGACCCTCCTATGTTATTGAAATACCCCCACACGTGCATACCTACCCGGTGTTCCATGTGTCAAAGCTCCTACCTTGTGTAACTAACGCGTTGTTCCGTAGTCGTAGATCAGCAATTCCTCCGAGTATGGATGGAAAATTTGATGTTGATAAAATCGTTGCTGAAAGTACTATCCAGACTGGACGCAGAGGTAGACCTCAGCGGCAATATAAAGTCAGATTTGCATATCAAGATCCAACTGAAGACCGCTGGTTCAGTAGAGAAGAGCTAATGGAAACCACACCAAACATAGTATCTTATGTGAGGATTGAGCCCTCAAGTAGGGGCCTTGCCATGATGTACATGTTTTGGGCTAAGGCCCCAGCAAGCCTCGTGCCCGCCCTAAGTGAAGGCGGGCCAGGAAAACAACAAGAGCCCTCTGTGCCAACATTTCACGAAGTGGGGTCCATACAGTTGCAGCATGCCAGTTGGTTGGAGTGCACCGAGTCTCGGATTTCAGCAAATGTTGAAAGCCCAGGGCCTCTGAGTTAGTTAGGCCCTGGGCACTCGAACGTGAGGCC